GCTCGCCCCGTTTTTCGCGTTTTGCGCGCATTTGTTTCATTCCATTTATATTTTGTGCGCAGACGGAGGGTGTGGAAAATCGCCGTTGCGACCGTTGGCTTTCAACGCGCGGTTTATCCGCGCGAGACCACAATAAATAAACGGTGCGTACCGTGGTCGATCGCATCTGTTTGCTTTTTAATCAAGACTTTATAATGAGTTTCGCTGCATCAGTCTCGGCTGAGGCTACACCGAGGAACTGAATTAAGCAAGTCGCGGAGTCACGCGAAGTAAAATTTTTCATATCGTTCGCGCGCGAGAAGCAATCGAACGAACACTCGCGACTCTGGTACCATGTACCGCATTATAAACGCCATATTACCACGCTTGATCCCAGTGTGTGGCCTCCGTGGGTTCGATATGTGTTCTGAGAGCGATACACTTTAACATCAAGCTCGGCCGTTCTCAAGCACGGCGCTATACACGCGTGTGCGTCGATCAATGGCGTAATGATCGCTCCTGCGGCGGCCGCTCGTGGAGAACGCCGAAGGAGTGGCACGTGAATCAGACGGGGGATTTCAGTGCTAATAATACCGAGAGATTAATGAAGCCACTCGCGGAACCGACGTTTTTTCACTCGCTAATTCGCTAAGACAGCCTTCAAGCTGCTGTGCGAAATTATTTTTCAAACACCCTCCCCTCCCCCACCGTCGCTTTCGGCCGGTCAGATTTAATCACAAAAAATTAGAGGCATACCGCGTCAGCGAGCTTTTTGCTGCTTAATATGCCGTTGCCATTTTTCATTATGACGGTAGGAAGCGGAAACGAAATCGATTTTACATTTCCTCCTATAGATATAATATTTTCTTTGTTTTATAAATTAATGTAGCATATTTTACTCGGCGAATTTTTCCATTGATTAATCATGGCTTCCTTTATTCCATTGTGTGTATATGTGTGTACGTGTGTGTGTGTGTGTGTGTGTGTGTGCGTGTGCGCTCGCGCGCGCGTGTGTGTGTGTGTATTCGATATGACTTCGTTCGAATATGAATTTTAAAGGGTGGAGTGGGAAGAAGGCAGAGGTAAATATGTCAGATACGCGTGAGTATATCTCCAACGTTCAGCCATGTGTTCGCTCGGCCATTCGCGGGACCGCGCACGAAAGTTAATAGGAACAAAGTGGTTCTGAAATTGGACAACCCCAACCCCTGTCTGCAGTATCGGTTGGATTGCAACTTCTCCCCCTGCGTACGCCACTGGCAACGTCAGCTTGTGCATAGGTGCGCTCCGGAGCACTCCGATATTGCATTTTGCTAGGAGGGGGCGAGCGTTCGCGTTACGTCAAACTGTGTTGTGTCTCGCGTTAATAGCGAGACATGACTTTGTTGTTCGCCGGCGGACCGGCCGAGGGAAGATGAGCGGCCCTCGCAATTTTAGCCGATGCGTCGTCACGTGATCTACACGGTGCGCTTCCTGTATAAATATGACTCGATTTCATTCGCGTGTGCCGATCATATTGTTGGAGACAGATTGTTTGGCACGCTATCGCGACGCCGATGTTCATGTAAACGAGGACAAATACGGGAAGTTGCGGTAATTCCTCAGATTGTGCGACTTTCATTTCTCTTAAAGGGATCCTCGTGTATCTCAATGGAAACGTTGTATGAAATATTTCGATGTTCGTGGCCGATATCCTCCTGGATAAAAGAGACCGGCTGTAGTTGACTCAAGGGACGTGTCGGCTTTGTTTATCTATTTGTCGTGAGAAGAACAGTGGAAATCGCAAAATGTTCTTTTTGGAACATAGATACTTTTCCTTGAATTTCGTTAAAATCGAAATAATATTACGTTTCAAAAATAGCGAAAGCTGATTTGAAGAAACAGTCAAATACATTTTCGAGTGCCTCAAAATTTGGTCCTAATATTTACTATCGTTAATGAATAAACTTAAACGACGTGTTATTGGTTGTATAGAATGAAATTTCCTACAAGTATATAATACACTACTTCGAGCAATAAGAGCAATTTTCGTTTATAAAATTATTGAAAGCACCAGGACGGGCCAGGTAAGGTTGGTCACTATTTAAGGTCCGGTAGAGCTGTGGAGACCTCTCACGGTATACATATTTTATATATAGTCCACTTAGCCCGAGTTACCGGAGATCTCGGAACTACTAATCAGAATACATATTTTACATGTGGTCTTCTTACCCCAAGTTGCTAGCCAACTTGACTTGGTACCGAGGCAAGGAGACATAAAAGAAGATTGCCTCTATCACGTTTGTGCAGTCAATCACAATTAGTCGTCTAAGAAGTTCTAACTTCGAAATTCTGACAAAAGTGCCATCTAGCCCCAGCCTCTTCTATTGCACGAGGAAGATATTCAAAGCGATGATGTTTAACGGACCACCCTGTATATCACGCGTAAGTACTTACTTACGTAAGTTCCGTAGCTTACGCACTCGATATTAAGTATTCCACTCGCATTACTTCCCCCTGAACAGAAAGTTACATACTCCTCCTTCTCCTCCTTGGGTCCGACGGCAGTGCTGTGCAAACTTAATTAGCGACTCTACCGGCGACGGCGACGGCGGCGACGGTGGAAGACGTCGCGAAGAAAGACGAGAAAACTCGGCACCGCGGAGGATTCCCGCGGAAAATTGCGCGTCCGTTTTCCGGGAGTGGCTAGCTAGCCGGTCGTCCTTAAATCACGTAGCCCGGGACGAGAGTTTGGCGACTTTTAATGCGACGTGTTCGCGCGGCGATTATAGCCGAGTCTGCAAAATTGGGTTGCGTTTCGATGCCGTTAATGTATCTCGCAAGCGGCGCTTTATCATCGGTCGCGAAAATTCGCGCGCTAAATGGATTAACTAAAATTCCACGGCTGATCCATAACTCGTTTAGCTGGAATCGAAAAGGCGCTGCCGATTAATTTTAGCGCCATTTAGCCGGACTAATGTAGTAGAAGGCTTCGCAATTTGCTGATGGAAAATTTCCAGTCAACTTTCACGCAAATTACGCAAGTAGCCCGCTATTTTATTGACACGTTACTTCCTCCCCATCAATAAACACTCTCTAGAATTTACATTTTTTAATGAGCAAACTTTTTCCAAACAGTATTAATAATTTCAATAGTTCTAAAAACTTTTTAGCCTCAACAATCTTAGATAAGCGTTTATCTGTTTTTCAAAACATATCTTTCGTTTTATGTCCGCATTGAATCCTTTTATTAAAGGAGTTGTATAAATCCACGTTGGATAGCCTCAAACAAATTGATATTCAGAAATTTGAATTCCACACTTATTCTTTTTTCGTGATTCTGCCACGTCACTTTATGTCATATGACGAAAGTATCAAGACAAAATACGATATTGATTTTATGGGCGACTGTCGTAAAGAACACCGCACGTCGTTGTATTGGCACGAAACGTGTTCCTCGTTGATACCCTTCTTGTAACACGAGGTACCTCGTCTCGTACGTGGAGCATCTGATTTTATTATCGTTTCGTGGAATATATATCTCTTTTTTACCGTTGCAAGTGGGAAAACACGCGCGCGTTTCTGGTTTTTAACTCTTTCGTCATTATCGAGCATGCAAAGATCGTCGCTTCGAGAGGATCAAAGTGTCCCATCAAAAGTAGAGCGCTCCTCGTAAACTGCGAATATTCTTTGACGAAAATCTCTTTTTACAAGAAGAAAATATTGACTTCAAGACGAACCAACACAATGAGTTCGACGACTCAATTTACATCTGATTAATGTGCCGTATCGTTTTCCACAGAGAAGTATGTAAGTGGGACTAAGTGTATACATGGAGCAAGATAAGCATAAAATATACTTTACAGATACTTTAAAAAGTAGAACCGCTTTTATCCTTCACGACGAAATATCTGTATACATAGCCGGAGAATTTATCTTCAAAATATAATCGCGCCGCACGCGAGAAAAAAATATATATACAAAAGTATATATACAAAAGTCCTATAGAGTTTTTTTTTTTTAATAGAAGGTAATACTTTTTGTAAAAGATTCTAAAAAGTTGCTCAATTCTGCGCATACGCGCAGAACGTGAACGTGAAAGGATGTATCAATGACACATTAATAATATCTCTAACATCAATAATACGTCATTAATACGTCATTTGACGTCATGTTTGCTGAAGCTTACATTTCAATAACTGCTCTCCTAGGCTCTGAGTCAACGTCAAATTTGTGTCTGTTACTTTTAGATATAATATAAATCAATATTTTCTTCAACATTTTCACGTTACTTTTTTAAATATAGGTAATAGGAATTCTTAAGATATCGTTAACTGCACAATTTACGACTTCCTGAGTTTCAAACACCATATATTTTTGTAAGCCGTGCTCAGTACCATTTCCACACTTAAACTGTTTCTACATAAACTATTTCTACATAAACAACTTAAACATATACAACTTAAACTATTTCTACATAATACAGGAATCGCTGGAGAAATCTAAGATGAAACTTTACAATTGTTTGCCGAGATCATCGGGGATCTAGGCTAACCGGTCTATCAATGGTTCATCGTGTCACGGAGAGACCCGCCCGAGCAGTTAGCAACGTGTTAATGAAGAAACACAAGAGCGCTCTGTACGCCTCATAAACGCGCCGACTCTCGCATAGTCATATCCGACGCGCCAGCATTCGGCGCGCGCCTCGCGAAATTGAACAGGCGCCTATAGGTGCACCTGCGCGTTATGTAAACCGCCGTTAGAACACAAAGGGCTAACTTCCTCCGACGTAATCCCCGCGGAAGTCCTGCCGTAAACACGGCACGACCGGAAGCGAATCGATCCTAGGCGACCTCGAAAGCGCAGCGGGGCTTCCGCAGACATCCTGGAGATCCTGGGCGGCGGTCGTCCAGATGCTGCGTGGAGCTGCGGTTGCTATTCGACACGGATTGTGGGTCCCTTCGGGGGCCGCCTGTCGGCAGGGCCGTTCTGGGCTCTCCTCGTGGTCCCGACTGGCATTTTCTGTCAGTCGTCGGCAGACCGCGGAGCAAGTCGGTCGATGGGGGCCGCCGCTCGTAAAAATTGAGCGATCTCTCTTTCCATCTTCCAGTCGTACACGCGCCATCCGACCTTCTGTTCGATTAATCACGTCAAGATCGCTGATCGATTACAATATAATAGATAGATCGAGAGTGTAAGAGAGAGAAAGAAAGAGAGAGAAAGAGAGAGAGAGAGAACGAGAGAGAGGGGGTGGGTGGAGGAGTAGTAGGAGGGTTTCTCGTGGATGATGAAAATCGGCATGGATCGGCATAGACACGTAGATCCGCGATCTGTCGAGCTGTATTCCGCGACGGGAGGGTGCCGCTGACCCAGGGTGGGCCCCGACGGGAGATCGTGAGGCCTCTGTATCGTATCACGCGGTCGAGCCGTAAATAATGGGGTAACCCGCACGCGATACAACACACGACCTTAGTGCGGCGTTACGATTAAGCGTGTGCATTGACAAACTGCTCGTGGAAGGAAAGCGGAAGGGATAAAAGGATCTCGGCCAGTTTTTAATCAAGTCGTTCTCTCTCGCGATAAAACAGTGCTCGCTCTTCGTCTTGCAAAGTGCTGTTGGCTCCATTGCGCTTCCGCGCGGAGACGACTGCTTATCCTCGTGATACATCGTGAGGAGAGCCGCGGATGTATGTATTATTGATCAAAGCGCAGTGAGAGAGAGAGAGAGAGAGAGAGAGAGAGAGAGAGAGGAGAGAGAGACGCGCTAACTATGGATCTCGCGATGCTGGTGAAGTTTCAGTGTGGATTATGTAAAAGTTGGAAATGAGATGCGCACGCAAGAGGCGCGACGTCAACGACGACGGCGAGATGAATTTTTGACGGCGGGTTTACCGTAAGTTTTTTGAGCCGCGATGAAAAATTAAGGTGATCCTCCACCGACGCACGGTACAAGAAGAACCTAGACATTGTCTCATAATGTACTATGATCGATGAGAATGGAAGACTGTGATCTGAATTTTCTAGGACACATCTATTAAAGTTTGACGTGCTCGCCGCAGGATAAGAAATAGTGGCTCGTCGTGTGCTCCCGATATTACGTAATTCGATAACGTAATAAGGCTTCGATACATCTATAATGAACTCATCGATTGATACGATAACGAGCATACACTTTACAGGGGTCTACGAAGAATTGGAGCGCATTTCTCCGCGGAGCAAGGCAAGGCATTGCCGTGCGAGAAAACAGCGTCATACTCGAGCGACTTCTTTCTCAAAATCCCCCCGTTTATTCCGACACTCTTGACAATTACGTGACAGCTCTATATTCCGAAGTGCGATCGAATGCATCTCCAGGGTTCCGCGACGCAGCTAGGAAACGCCAAATTGACACGTCGAGTTTCGTCCGTCTGGCATTTTCTTTCCGAGTACGTACAATATATACGACGCGGCGCGAAATTGAAAACCGATCCGAGACTCGCGACGTGCTCGCGTCTCCCCAGCGTTTTCCGCCGATAACACGAACCGCGACCGTACGCGCTGACAAGGCGCGTATAAAATCGACGATAGCGAACTGGACAGCCGCCAGTCTTGCGAGAGCCGTGCGCGAGAGCGGACGTCGCTCGTTTCACGCCGATGCGGTGCCACGTGAGGGAAAAGCCAGGAGGAAAACGCACGCCGCTCTGAAGTAACAACATTTTCTTCCCGTTTCTTCCCTCGCGTTGTGGACTCTCGCCATCGCGTCGAGCGACGGAAATGGTGTGAATCGCGCCGGAAGTGTGGCGGTACATCGTGAGAGAGAGAGAGATCGACGTGTGAAGGTGTGAGGTGTGCTTAACAATCGCGACGTTCCCGTGGGATTTTATTGGTTCATTCATAATCGAGACGTGTTAGATGACTCGCGCGCTTTTTCTCTCTCAATTTTTCTCTTTTTATCTCATCGAAACGAATGTGACGAAAATTGGAAAATGGCCTCGACTGAGAACATGAGTCGGAAGTTTCATCGAGTGTGAACGTACGACGACGTTACCACGGAAGAAAATCGATTTGATTTACGGAGCGAGAATGAATCAGGGACTTCATTGATGTCGCGGAGGGACGCGACACGACGTAATAAGACGGTCGCAAAGATCCGACCTGAAACGAAATAACGCACCTGTTCCGGTTTTTCATCGAGTGCAAGGATATTTATCGAAGCTGCGGTAACGAAATTTAATGCCTGCATCGAGCAAACTGTGCGGTATTCGTACATATCGCGCATCGCGCCATTACATTTATCGGACTATTAATCGAGATCACATTCGTATTGAATCGTAGGTGTTCCACGGGATCGAACGTGAGCGTATTTTCAAGCAGAGCTTGGAAACAGTACAGGAAGAAGGCAAGGGGAGAAATCCACGTAGGGCAGAAGATTACTCGAGAAGTCGAGGATCCCTCCACTGAGACTTCTAGCACCTCGCGCGCAGGGAATCCCGCGGCTATTCTCAAAGGTTTACGCCGACAGATCCTGAAGATACTTCCGCCAAGGTGTGAACGCAGCTATTATGAGAAGATGCCCGAGGAGGACGAGCGCCTCGAGTAACTCGCAGATGAAACTTGCGCTACGCCTGAGAGGCGAGACCAATTCTTCACGAGCATCCCGGAAGGATCTCCGCAATCCCACTTCTACCGCTCCATATTCCGCCGAAAGTTTTGCGGCCCGCGGCAACTCCTGAAAATCTCCCGCACGAAGGCCGCGGAAATCCTGTTCGCAAAGAACTTGGAGGTCTTATCCCGCAAAATAAAAATTCATTCCACCGAAAACACATAAATCGTATCGACCGAGAGATTTTCCTCGGAACTCGCTGAAGGGAAAAATTTCACAAGTTGTGCCAGAACAATTTCCGGGAACTCTGCGAACGTGTCCTTGTCGCGAACCACGCGTATTATCCGCGCAAAACGCATAGAAGTGCCAAAAGAAATAGTACGTTCGTTGTATTGTTAATTTCTCCATCCTGAGAGGAGCGTGCAGCAGATTAAAATTCGTGATTACAAGCTTTTCGGAAACTTACCATCCTGGATTGCGCGATGCACCGGACACAAAGCAATTTGGAGAAGACGAGTGAGAAAATCTAGATGTTTTAAATAGAGAAGAAGAGACGGCGAGCGAGGGATTCACGAAAACGAAGAGGAGAAAGAAAGGAGGGAATTACGAATAACAGACAGAGGCGAGGAAACGCGCTCCAGGAATGCCGTGGATAAAGTGTTTGGGTGGTGGAGGCGGGAAGGCCAGGAGGGGCAAGCCACTCAGCGTCAGTCAACCGATCCACCTGCTTGTCAAGGTAAGATTCTCTCGAGACGTTTTCCGCGCGACTTTCTCGCAGCGAATCCGAGCCGAGCGAAAATTCAGGACTTGTGTTGTACCTAGGTCGTTCCTTTTGAAGAATTTCTCGGAGCACAATCAGTCCCTTCGGGACCGAATCTCTTAAGATTCAGTAACATGTGAAAATATTAATTCATCAAGTCTCCAACAGTATTGTGTTCAAGAAACGTGTCTTCTTATAATTTGTTAGCGGAAATCATTTGTTCTATTGGGAATATAATAACAAGTGATTATTGTAAACGATAATTTATTTTAAATTAATGGAAATCCTAATATGGTAAAATTGACGATAAATTGCCTAAATCAAAAAAGTAATAAAAAATGTTTTGAAAAGATATAAATTATTCTAGATTGTATTCATAATAAAAGTAATCACAAACAATTTGACATTCACTTACATACGCGCGCGATTTTAGAACTCTTTTCTTCTATATATTTAAAATTTGTTATTTTTATTTAATTATTTTATATTTTGTATTTATACTCCCTATCTGTAGTGTTATTTTCATTTTTTATGCATGTCTTTTAAGTATTCAAGGTTGTTTCTCAATTAAGTTTTTGCAAGGTTTCATTCTGTTTCAAAGATAAAATAAAAAGTGTTTAAAAATAAAAAATAATATAAGTAAATAAACTTTAAAAATGTAATGTTAAAGTTGTTAAAATATGTTGTTACTCAACTGCGTCGTATGTACATGTATCATTACGTTTTTACACAAAAAATGAAAATATTAACGGAAATTAGAGATACTTTTAAATTTTAGTAATTTTTTACAGAGACTCTCTCTCTCTCTCTCTCTCTCCCTCCTTCTCTCTCTCTCCGCTCTCTCTCTCTTTCTCCCTCCTTCTCTCTCTCTCTCTCTCTCTCTCTCTCTCTCTCTCTCTC